GCACCCTGAATTTGGACTTTTAGCCTCTTAGGCTGTGAGAGAATAAATTTCTCTTTGTTAAACCAGTCGACTTGTGGTATTTCTGTTATAGCAGCCCTAGATAACTTAAGACACTGCTCCACTCCCCTTTGAGATACCCTTTTCTTCCACTTTTCTCTGTGCAGTTAATTATGTTCATACCTTTTCTTCAACCCTCTGAGGTTCACAGACATTATTTATCTTGATACTGTTTTTACCAACCTTGCATAAAGTCTTGCGTTTCCCGTTTTAATATTTTTCACTCACAAGCCTTTCCCTTCAGATTGTTGCAGTTTTATCGTGGGTGCTTCTGTGTGTCTAATGTGTAACTTCCCTTGTTTACTACAGAATTAACTACTATTTGTCAGGAGGCTTCCACCCAGTGGGTTTTCATGTGGTCAACATCCTTCTGCACAGTGGCGTTTCTGTCCTCATGGTGGATGTCTTCTCCTTGGTGTTCGGTGGCCTGCAATACACCAGTAAAGGATGGAGGTTAAACCCGGCCCCCCGAGCGTCCCTGCTTGCCGCATTACTGTTCGCCGTACATCCCGTGCACACAGAGTGTGTGAGTATCTGCACTCACATAAGAAATGAGAACGTGTCCATATGTCATCTTGCTTTCTTAAAGCAAGCTTCCTTTAAGTGCTTGTCTTGTTCAAGAGCTGTATAGTTACTGTGCTATGCCCTGGAATTATTGAAACACTTATTTATAGGTTGACAATGTCTCTTATGAAAAAATGCAGTGTGCCATATGCATGAAGACTTTGTAATGACAGGATGGCATCAGCTCTGTTGAGGGCACTGGTGGTACAATGGGAGAATCCTCGCCTTCCATGCAGGAGATGCAGGTTCGATTTCCAGCCAAGGCACCTCATGCACAGCCACCCCCCATCTCACAGTGGAGGTTTGCGTGCTGTTGTGATGCTGAACAGATTTCAGGGGAGCCTAGAGACTAGGAAGAAAGGCCTGGTTATCTACTTCTGAAAATCAGCCAGTGGATCACAACAGTTCCATCTATAACTGATCATGGGGATGGTGCAGGACAGGGCAGCATTTTGTTCCGTCATGCGTGGGGTCGCCGGAGTCGGGGACTGCCCTGATGGGAGATAACAACAACTCACCTGTGTTGGTACTTTGTTGAGCTTATATGACTACTTCGACTATACAGTATGAATGCTGAATATTGCCTGGCTTACAGGTATAATGGCCAGAGGCTAAGAACCTTTCTTCAGTGAAGGGTCTGATGCAGTTTTCCTGTGTTAGCTGAGAGCTTTATAATGTACAGAATACTTGTTCCTACCTACTTGATTGTCACCAAAACTCTGTGAGATCAGATAGCAAGTATAACAGTTTCCATTTTACAGATGCAGAAATGGCCTAGAAGGATAAATAAGAGTCTTATCTAAGGTCAGTGACATAGGTAGGGAACATAGGGATGAGAACTTAAATTCTGCCTCTCCAAGGGATGCCTGGCATACTTTCAGCTGAACTGGGAAGAGGATCCCTATGTCCTGCTGATGGACTCTCTCTGCGTTTCCCCTCCTCTTCATCCTCTCAGCTTGTCCTTCGGGCTCCGCTCACGTGAATGAGGAGTGTAGAGATTATTATTCCCTTCCTCTTGGTAGACTTGGCCCAGGGGATCGGGCAGCTCCTGACAGGTACCTAATCTGCTGTACTGTGGGCTGCATCTGTATTCCATTGGGCTGGTGCTGAGTATGTATTTGGTGCAAACTGTGCTGGGATTTAGCTAGACATTTGTAGGGTTTCAAGCAACCACTCCACCCCTACACCACGTAACCCTTTGAAAATGTAAGTCACAATGTTTGCTGAGGTAAAATATTTCATTTTCATTTCTGTGAGCTATATTTTATTACTTCTCTTACAATAG